AGCTACTGCAGGAAGCATGCAGAGTGTGCCACAAGGAGACAGAGGGTCTCTCTCTTTTTTGTAGCAAGATGAATGTGTGTTTACCTGAGTCCTACAAAGTTCACATTCCCTAAAATTGAGGTCCCTTTTCTTACAATGCAACCCACTGCATGTACAAAAATCAGCTGTATTACTGTTGATACAAAAAAAATGCAACTCTCATTTTAAAGGCAACAAAAGATAGCTTATTCTGGAGCCACATTTGAGTGCCCATCCAGAATTAGGTTACCTTAAATTCCACAATCCAATGTGGAAGCAGTTTCATGAAGTTTTTGGTTTTACAAAGAAAGTGTCAGGATTCAAAATCAACATATAGAAACCTTTAGACTGAGAAATAGATTGTGGGAACACTGCCATTTATAATAGCCTCAAAAATATGTATGAATAAACCCAATCAAGAGGGTAAAAATCCTCTACGATAAAAACTTGAAATCTTTGAAAAAAGAGATTGGAGAAAACAATAGAAGACAGGAAGACCTCTCACCCTCATGGATTTTCAGAAAATGACCATTCTACCAATAGAAATCTACAGATTCATTGAAATCCCAATCAAAATCCCAGTGACATTCTTTACATTAATCATAAAATTCATACAGAACCATAAGTCTCCAGATAGCCAAATTAACATTGATCAGAAGGAAAAATGCTGAAGAGAGCACCATCCCAGACTTCAAGCTGTACTGCAGGGCTAAAGTAACAAAAACAGCATGATACTGGAACAGAAACAAGCATGTAGAACAACAGAACAAAATAGAAGACCCAAACATGAATGCACATAACTACAGCCACCATATATTGGACAAAATATGCCATAAATACACACTAGAAAATAGCATCTTCAAGAAACTATACTGGAAAAACTGGATACCTCCAGGTAGAAGAATGGAATTAGACTCTTATTTACCATTCTAGACAAAAAATCTACTCAATTGGATCAAAGACTTCTGTAGATGCACAGATTAAGATACACTGGTCTAGGACAATATGTTAATTATATAAGGGAGAAGTCAATTACATGAGAAACCGATAACCCACAAATTCCAGCAACAAGGATCAATGCTCAGCTGCTCTCTGAAACCCGACTGACTGGAACCAAGAGAAGGAACACAAGCCTGTCCAGGACCCCAGACCAAATCCCACATTCTCACTTACTCACCTGTGACCACGCCCAAGTGGGTGTGGTCAGTGCCACAGGTGCATCTGCTTAGATCTCTCACTACAGACTTCAACGAGAAACCTGAAACACCGAAACTGCTGAATAAAAATGTAAGCAGTCCCCTATAATATGTAAATGTAGGATAGTGTTTCTAAATAGGATTCCATTTGCCCAAGCATTAAAGCCAACAATTGACTAAAAAGCTTCTGTACCAAAAAGAAATCCACAGAGTGGGAGGGAATCTTTCCCATCTATATATCTGACATAGAATTAATATTCCGGAATATGTAAACATATGAGTGTTATATGGTGGACTGATCTTATACACTTATATTCCATTTACTGCCCACTAGAAGCAACCTCATGAGAGAATGATTAAATAAGACCTGCAGGCATTGTACACTTTCTTTCCCCAGAGACTTTTATCCTCGAATGATGGGCTCACAAGCAAAGAGATACTGGTAGTATGGATTAAAATTAACTGTAAGTTCTTTATTTATTCAAAAACTATAAAATCAAGAAGCCAAATGACCCAATTAAAAAAAATGGTCTATGAGTTGAAACAAAGAGTTCTCAAACCATAAAAATGGCTAAGAAATATCTCAACAAAAGTGTTCTACAACCATAGGGAAAATGCAAATTAAAATTACCTGGAGTAGTTTTCGTCTTATCTCAGTCAGAATGGGTAAGATCAAGAAAACAATTGACAATGGATGCTGACAGGCATGTGGGGAGAGGGGTATCTCATTGGCTAATAGTGATACTGAAAGCTAGTCTGTCCACTCTGGAAGTCAGTGTAGAGAATTCTCAAAAAACTTAACCATACCTACCATATGGCCAAGCCATACCACTCCTTAGCACATATGCAAATGACTCCATACCCTATTCTGTGGATCCTTGTTAAGGCATGTTCAAGGCAAATCTATGTGTACTATGTGTATGGAGACAACCTAAATGTATTTCAACTGATAAACACGTAATGAAAATGGCAGTACATATATACTATGGAATACTTTTCAGCCATAAAGAAAAACAAAATCATAAAAAGAAAATCAAAATCATGAAATTTTCAGGCAGATAGATGGAACTAGAAAAGAATTGTACTGAATGAGGTTACCTAGAACCAGGAAGACAAATGATATTTGCTCTCTTTACTTGTAGATACTTGATCTGAATCTTTAGATGTGAGTATAAAACCTAGCATAACTGTAGAATCCAGGAAGATAAAAAGGAACCATAGATGAGGGGTCTCTAGAGAGAGGAATAATAGAACACAGATGCTAGCTATGAAGGGGAAATTTCGATAAAACAGGAGGAGGTATTAACTGGGGAGAGGGATGGAAAGGCAATACAGAAGGAAAGAGAGGGAGGAGAGATAAGCACCACCAACTATGTTCAAAAACACCATCAAATTTATACTATACTACATTTACTTAAAATTACATGTATTATATGTATTGTGC